TCTTTTCTTTTTCAAATCCGTAAGATAATTTTCATAAAAATGACCTTATTTTTCATTAATCAGTAAGTCATTTTTCATTGACCAATCAATTTTTTACCAAGCAAACACTTAAAAATACGAAAATTATTTTTCGAAAGTTATTTAGTTACCCGATCTTATCATACCCAATTATATAGGATTTGAGACGAATTGAAATATAATCAAGGGTGTAACCAGAAGGTAGGCAAAGATCACAGTCCCTAAAAAAATTTTTAACTCCTTTATAGAATTGTAACTAATCTCATCAAATATTATACTTGATCCCCTCTTTCTCTTGAATATATTATTTGTTTCCCTTTTCAATTTTCTTAGCTTCGCCTTTGATATATATACCAATATCACCCCTTGGATATATGGATCATTACCTAAACTCAATTTTATGTTTACAATTAATATGTATATTAATAATCTGAGTAACAATGTTAAATTTATAAATTTACAATAGTACACTTTCAAATATTTTATTATGATTATATTTTGATAATTTAATATTTTCATGCTCTATTCTCAACATGACCCAAGACAAATATATATAAACCTTGAGTCAATTTTATTACAAGCTTTTATGCAACTTTAACTCTCTTCTCTTAATTTGTTAATAATTTAATATAACATAAAAATAAAAAACAAATTGGTTGAACAATAACAATTGCATAAAGCCATTAATATGTAACCTCATAAAATAAGAAAAACTATTGTCTTCAATGGAGTTTTCTCTGGCACAAGAGTAATTTAAAATATTTCCATAGTTTTTAACTTATTTCCTTTATTATGGTACTTTAAAGCAATTTAATGTCATGTCAGCGATTATTTATTCTCTTTCTCCTTTTATTAAAATCTTTTTAATATTTTCCTTAGGAAAGTCTTTTGTGACTCAACATTGTTTAAGATTTGCTTAAATCAATAAAAATATTGATGAATTAGCACTAAAACTCAAAACAAAACAGAAAAAAAAAATCAAATCAACCCAATAAAACCTAAAAAAAAAAAAAAAAAACACTACCTAGAAAATTTTTTTGGTAAAACTTTTTTTATTTAAATTTGAGCAAAATGTTTAAAGTTTAAAACTTGAAAATCCAATCATTGTATTTTGAAACAAAAAAAGTTGACAAAACAAACAAAACCATAGTTTTATATTTAAAAATAAATTTTTTACTCTCTTTGTGTTTTTGAAGTTTTTTTTTTTTTTGGCTCTTATTGTGTTTGTTGCAAAATGTTATAATGTATAAATCCATAAACCTATAACTAGATGCAATTTAAGGAGTCATCATCAATATTTTTATTAAGATATGATTGGTTACCTAATGTATATATTCTTTTAAAGATGTCTTAAGCTTAACTAAAGGTTTTTAAAATAATAAGTTCTGGTTTGCATTTCAGAACAGAGTTTAGGAGTTCGATTATGTGGACCACAACACCAATCATAAGATGATACCATTTAATGTTAAATTATCCTAACAATTATATTGGTTCTAATAGTCTTTTATTTTAATGTTTAAATATTGAAAATAATTCTTAAGATTTTCTCTATTAATCTGACAAAATTCATAAAAATATTTTTTCATTTCAAAAGTATTCAAGAATCCCATTTGTTTTTTTGAAAAGGATCCGTTATTGGAAATTAACTTAATTATTTATTTTTTTGTTAAATTTTTGTTTTATTGAAAATAAATCTAATTTTTTCACTATTTGGGTTGAAATTTAAAATATTTTCTCACCTAAAAATCTCTTAGTAATCATCTATTTGCAATTATCAAGAATTTCATCCTATAAATTTATTTTATTTTACAAGTTTTATTTCTAAATTTTTCACTATGTGGGCCTAATTTAGAAATATTTTACAAGTTTCATTTCTAAATTTTTCACTATTTTAGTCAAATTTAGAAATATCTTTTTTAGAATTCAATCTCTATTTATCCATCATTTATTTCTTGGAAATAATATAACAATTTTTTTTTAAGTCTCAACTAAATTCTTCCACCTGGGTTGAATTTAGAAAAAACTTTTCACCTAAAAATTTTATAGAATTTCAACCATTTGTGATTTTGCTTGAAATTTTATCATTAGATAATTATCATACATTTTTAAACAAATTTATAAATTATGTTTTTACTTCTTAATTTGGAGAAGAATATAATTATTTTTATTGAAATTTCATTTAAATTATTTCACAATTTGGGTTAAATTTAGATAAATTCCTCATCTAAAGATTTCTTAAAAAATTTACATTTTAAAATTTTTAAAAATCTTATTATTGGATAATTGTTAATTTATTTCCCAAAATTTTATTAAATTTATTTATATATTTTTGGTATTTGAATTTTTTATTTGAAAGTAAATATTAATTATTATTCTTAAAACTTTATCTAAAGTTTTCCCCTATTTTGGTAAATTTTAAAAATAAATTTTTAATCTAGAAAATTTTAGAGAATCAACCATTGTTGATCTCATAAAATTTTAAAATCAATTTTTTATTTTTTATTTATTTTCAAATAATTTATAAAGATATTCCTAATCTAAAAATTCTAACATATAAAATATAAACAAACAAATATATATAATATATAAGCAAGTGAACAAATAAAGAAATAAAGAAAAGTAATATCATAATTTGGGTTAAAACCCAAACAATAGCTTTTAAGCAGAACAAATGGACCCAATTTTTTGCTTCTCTACTTTACTCCCATCCTGCAAATGTTGAGTTTGTCTACATTCTCCAATTTTCAACAATTGTTTGCTTTCAACGCTAACACAACACTGATTCCATCGTCTTGTTTTCTTTTTTGACTTTTCCATTTTTCATCTTTCGAAGACGCTAGACACCAAGCTGCCTTTCTCCTTTCTAACAGCCCCTGAACATCCTTTCTCTTCGAATTAATGTTCGTCACTACTAGAAGTATAAATAATATATTAATCTCATAAATTATTTGTATTTAATTTAAATTAAATTAAATTTGATTCAATTATTATCAAGTTAAGTTCGAGTTCAAATAATTTAATTTTTCAATCGAATCAAATTCGAATATTATTATATCCGATTTAAATAGTTCATGAGATTAATCAAATTTTTATATTTAAATATATTTATATTATTTTAATTAATAAAAAATTTTAAATTCAAATTCAAACTCGAATTTAAATACAAATAATCAAATTTTTATCGAATATAAAAATTAAACTTATTTTTATATATTAATTAAGTTTAATCGAACAAACTCGAATAATTCGATTTTTATTTCAAATCGAACTTGAATTAAAAAAATAAAATTCAATCGAATTTGAATCGAATTTCGAACATTAAATTTTGAATTGAGATCAAATCAAACTTAGATATTATATCGACTTGAAGTCCAATTACATTCCTAGTCACTACAAATAAGCCTTCCACTGTCGCTACGACTTCAACTTTCCTCCACTACCGTCATCGCCCAAAATAGCCACAGTAATTTCGCTGCTTGCTTTGATTGTGATTTTTATTGATTGTGTTGGGTTTTGATCTTTTTGATTGCCGACTTTGGTGGTAGGGGTTATGGTTGTTGCTGATAAATTGGTGAGATGGTATGCGAATCCTGGAATCGGCCGTTGGTTTTTGGTAATTGGTTCTGTGTTTTTGTTTGTGATTGGCGTCTGCGATATGGGCTGCTTACCGGTAATGGTTCGGAGATGGTGTTCCAGCAGAGATGGCATTGAAACTCTCGGCTTGTGCAACAAATCATGCATCTCAAATGTGCACAGTCTTTCTTAGCATTGTTTCCACAATCTTGGCAGTTCATGCCTCGTCTCGTAACCATAAAACCTACTGATCTCGAAGACGACTCTCTTAGCTTTGTTTCCACAATCTTGGCAGTTCATGCCTCTTTGTCTCATAGCCATAAAACCTGCTGATCTCGAAGACGACACATCAGAGAGGTTAAGTCCACAAGTTTTTCGACAAGGACCCGCTCCAAACGAGTAGTTGTTCACACCTTGCTGTTGTTTGTAATAATACTGTGACCATATCTCAAATCCTTTGTTGTAGATCTCTTCGTTTCTGTACAAATATAGGTTCTTGAAAATGAAAATTCTCAGTTTTTGATTGGAAAAGAAACTGATAAATCGATAATGGTGTTGATTGAATAAGGTTGCTTTATCATCTTCAGAAAAACAAAAAAAAAAAAAGGAAAGAAAATGATGAATTTTCATGTTCTAAACTTCAAACTTTTGGCTCACATTTAAATCAAACAATTTTTGCCAGAAAATCTGGGTAATACTTTTTTTTTAAGTTCTACATTGAACTGATTTGATGATCTTCTTTGACTTTTACTGCTAGCCCATGAATTCTTATTGGTTTAAGTAATCTCAAATAATGTTAATCAGAGATAAGGTTTTCGCTTGAGAATATAAAGAGCAGTTTGTTGGTCCAAATATGTAGTTTTCTCTGATGTTGAAATAAAGAGAGGTGGAGAAGGTGAATGAAATCCTGACAAGATATTTTTTTGGTTTAAAGTGTCCTGTTAAGGGAAATAAGTTAAAAAAAAGTTTTAAATTACTCCCGTTTAGGAAAAACTCTCCTTCAATGTTAGGGTCCGTTTTTTTTTTTTTTTTCTTCTTATCCAGAATTTATTAATTCCACCAATATAGGCCTCCATGGAACGCTTCTGAGTGAAGAAAGGACGAGAAATTATCACTAGAAATTATAATGACTATATTTACTAAACTCTAACAAGTAAAACGAAAGAGAAAGAAAAAAAAAACTGTTTCTATTAAGATTCAACAAGATACAATTAATGTTGAGTGTTTAGTACTGTAATCAATTTATTTTTAAAATTTGTAACTTCATTACTGAAAAAACCTGAAAAAAAAATAGTTTCTGATTAATTAAAATCAATAACTTGGTCTCTGTCTTTATTTCCCTTCTATAAATTGTCACCCACTTTCCTCCTTTCAACCACCAAATTCACCATCAAAGCCTTCTCCAGTGGTCTATTGAACGTGGTCCATTTTTTTGGTGATAAAGGATAACCATGTCAAAGAGAGCTGAAGCAACAATTTGCTGGCTGCTATTGGCCACCTGTTCTGCAGTTTTGGTCCAGCCAGGGCTAGCTCAGCTGCTGCCCCCAAATTTGGGGGTCATTCCAAATCTTCCGGGCCTGCTCCCACCAGGGACTCCACTAGAGATTCAGCAGTGCTGGTCAGCTCTTACGAACATACAGGGATGCGTATGGGAAATTTTGAGGTCTGTTTTAAGTGCCCAATTTGGCAGCATTGGCCCTGATTGCTGCAAGGCAATTACCACAGTCAATGAAAATTGTTGGCCTAAAATGTTTCCCTTGAATCCTTTCTTCCCATACTTGCTCAAGGGTAATTGTGCTCGCGTCGGAGCGGCTCCCCCGGCGCCTAAGTGATTGTTGCCGCTGCTAAGACAGACGGCTCTAATTAAAGTTCTGTTATTGAGTAATGATTAATAATTTTCGTTAGTCCAAGTAACAACCAACAAATAAGATGCTTCAGGTGCAGGAAATTTCATTTCTGTGTTCAGTAATTTTTAAGTTTAGCAAATAAAGATGGTTGTTGCCAACAATGATGTAGAGTATTAGATTTTTAATTTCAATTATTAGAGTTCGTTCATGATATTTTCAAGTACCAAAAAATAAGGATCATTGTTTTTAAACATTGTTCATTCTATATTTCTCCTCGCTTTTTACTTCACGACCTTGTGTTTTACCCTAAGATTTCCTATCAAAAGCAAGTTACAAATTTCTATCTTAATTACACCAAGTAAACAAAAATTCCTTTTCTATACAATATTCCGTGGGGAGGAAGGCATTTCCGAATTTTTACTCGTGGTATTCAAATTTATTGCAAATCTAGCAAAAGGCTAAAAGCCAATATCGAGAAATATAGGTAGAGACTTTTAGTTAGAGCGACTTGAGTGAGAATAGCATAAGGAAAAGTATCTGCCGACCTTAGGGTTCGTCGAGGTAGTACAGGGGCGGAGCTCCATCCTTCAGCAATTGGCTTGTTTTTTTTGTCTTATACATTCGACAAAATACAAAATGTTTTAGGTGGATTTGACATTTGGGTACATTAAGATTTGATGCTTGTCTGCTTTTCTTACATTTTGATTCCAAAAAGAAATAAAGACGACACCTTAACCATTTGTTAGTTTTACTCTCACATGGGCACTGTGAGGTGAGCCCAAATGGAATCAGCTAGATGTCTACATTGCCACAGAGGAACACGCTCCGCCGCTCTGCCATCTTTCTTCAGCCCTAATTTAATATTTAGACCTTTTTCATTAGTTCCATTTATTGATTTTGCTGTTTTCTATTCCCTCCACTCAAATAAAACAAGATCAATCACGGCTATCTTCACATATATATATATATATATATCACATATTTTTAAGTTTAGAATCATCCTGAAAAGTTATATTCTTCAATGGAATCGAAGAAGTTAAGGGAACAGACAAATATTAGGCATTAAACACTACAGACTAAAAATAATCACACCTAATCATAAACCAATTCTACTTTATCCCCTCGGACCCCATTTTGTCATACCCAATGGTTCTATGTGGACAATCAAATCCAAAAAAGAAGGCTATTGACTAACCCTAATAGGGACTTGCACCAATGAAATATCAATTTTATTTGCTAAGGATTAAAGTGGATTTCAAGTAAAGATACCCCCAAATGTATTGCAGATTGCAACTTTTGTTTGATACTTTATGAGATAAGGTCTTGGCATAATAAGACAGTGACCAGAATTTGCAACTTTTTAGAAAATTTTACTTTAGAAATTGATACGATCGAGTAGAAAGGGAAAATATATAGGTAGGTTGAGTTGAGTTATCATAAAATGAAAATAATGTTAGCTTTATCGCTAATTTAGTATTTTTTTATTGGCCGAATTGTCATTTATCAAACACCGGTAGAGTTTCAGGTAATACGTTGCCATCATTCTTTTGGATCATTAATTTGTTGATTTAACCTTGATAATGAATAGCAAATTAACTTGACCTCCCAATATGATTTGTTAGAATGGTATATTATTCACTTAGATCAATTTAGTATTGCCATTTTCATTTCTTTTTTAAAATGAAAATAAAAAATTAAAAAATTAAAACACTTAATGATGAAGGCATGAGGGATTGGTCCTCAATTGTATGATCCAAAATCATGGTCAGTTATACAAAAAAGAAAAAAAAAATTACAGAGTTCTAAAATTTGAATCTCATATGCCACAATTACATAAATAAATTGAGTTAAATGCAATTGGATGGTTAATTCTTGATACAATTTCAACTAATCTATTTATCCATCAGCCAAAATTTTGTTGGGTGTTTGACTTTGTTTTCTCTTCTTGTTGCTTAACTGTTTTTAGCCAATGCACCAAATTTTCAACTTCCAATTGGAGAAATTCTCTAGTAATCAGAAAAGATAAGCTGACATGTGAAGAAAACATTGATTTTCTTTGGATAACCAGCCAGCTCTGATTTTCTTCTGGAATGTTATCCATTTCTGATCAAAATCCAAAACTTTATTTGAGAGCACACTACAAAATATTTTTCTTATACTAACGAATTTATATTGACGAGTATTAATTATCAATATAGATAAAAAAATTAAAATATATAAATTTATATTTATGATTATTAATCATCGATAAAAAATATAAAAATAAAATACACAATAAATATTATATCAACAGATATATATTTACTGATAATTTTGAACCGTAAGTATATCTTTATAAATTATTTTAACATCTTAAAAATTATCAAAATAAATTTATACTATAAAAGAGATATTAACAATTAAAAATTTATTAAAATATATATTTTGACCATTGATATAAAATCTATAATATTATATTGACAGATTTTAAAGTTTTACTAATATTTTTTTTAACGTTACAGATTTTTTTTGTAGTGACAGGTGATCTCTTTGCGAGTATTTCCTCCTGTTGAAGAATCGGACGTGGTCCACGTAGACTATATTGTTGGTGGAGGTGTAGACGACAGAAACTTGACAGAATAAAGGAGAATTTCCTTAGAAAGGGTGTTAGGTTAATGTACAACAAAAATCAACGCAACAAATTATCAGAAAGGTTCTGTCCTTACACTAAAAATATTGAATGGAGCAGGTCTTGGCGGTTCGCTTTTGGGCAGAGAGGCTCACCAGTTCCTTCTGAGAAAAAACAGGATAATTAAGGGACAGACAATTGTGCTGAAAATCCCAAACTAACTTGTTTGAAAACGGCAAAGTGCCAACTTGTAGTGAATGATTAATCACAAAATTAAGAACTTACATTTAGATCCAAGGGGTTATTGGCAATGGAAATCAAACTTAAACTTTACAAATGATGTATTAGATCCTTATCAACTCAATTAATACTCTTTAGTTTTGTTCCAAACATTTGATCCCGTGGCTGATGTAGTGAAAATCTTTTTCTTTTTTTTTTTAATCAAAGCTTTGATCATCCAATGGTAAAAGATTCGCAGTCTGGGGAATACTTGAAGCAGTGCACGATGCTGACTACAAAAATACATACATTCCCCTATCAACTCGTTTCATGCACTCTGCTTTCTTGTACTTTACATATAGATTTCACTAATTATAGACAAAATTCTGCCCATTATTCTATTCTAATAATGTTAATAACTTCAATTTCATACAAAAAATTTAACAGTTCTCTTTATCATTTTTTTAGTTAAATTTACCTACATTAGATAATGAAATCTAAACTTCCAATCCTTTTTATATTTAATAATACTAACTTTCTATACAATAATACAAATTTTTTGTTAATTTTAAATTTAATATGATTTGAAAAATATAATTTTTATAAATTATACAATTTAAAAATAATGTTCTTAAATTATGATTTATTACAAAAATATATAATATTTATAAAGAACTAATACTTTTTATAAAATTTTTCATATAATACGCATTACTCGATATCGGCACAATAATAATAATTGAGATATAAAATATTGTATTGAAACAATACGACGTACATTTTTGTTGCTCTATCCAAAAGCACTAGCCATATTTATTAACCAAATCAACTTTTTTGTCTTACAGCTTCCAAGGTTCTTACAAAAAGTGGGCCCCACATCCTCAAGTTGCAGCTTGTTTGATAGGTTAATAAAAAAATCTTTCCTGTTTTCCTCCAGGAAAGCAAAGTGAAAGGTAAGCCTAAAAAATGGTCCCATTTCTGCAGCAAACCTTACTTCATTCTAAAACTGGTAAGACAATTAACAAGATGGCAACCTTAACTTGATTCTCCCCACTTCCATAATAGATTATATTTATATAGTAATACGGTAATGCCCTTCTGTTTGGAATTGCATTTTTTTCTCACTTTCTTGGCAAAGTTTCTATTGCTACCCCATTTTTTATTTTATCTTTTACCTTTGCCTCCAATGGCAAACCCTGTTAAAAAGTTCATATCTTCAGTTTCATGGCTATCTTACCAATTTATAGAGGAACACTAAAGGTTTCAAGATCTTAACTTCTTTTTTTTATTGAATCTAAAGATGGGTTTTCAGATTTGGCGAATGGGGTTTTGTTTTTGGGTGTGTTTTAGTTTTTTAAGCTACAGCTTAAGTTTTGTAAGTTCGCAAGCTGCTGCTGTTGCTGAAAGGGATGCTACTGTCGAAGGAACTGTTTTTATTGATGGGAAAGCTCCCATTGGTACTATAGATGATGATTTTATTTGTGCTACTTTGGACTGGTGGCCTCCTGAGAAATGTGATTATGGGACATGCAGTTGGGGTCTTGCTGGACTGCTTAATCTGGTAATTTTTTTTTTCTTTTATTTGCATTTGTCTTTTAAATACTGTCCTTTTCTGTCAACCAATATGTTTTCTTTGTTGTTTGATGAAGTTTTCCTTTTTTTCAATTTTTCAATCTTCAATCTTTCGTTTATGTGTACAAATTATGTATTCCATACTGTCCTTGTTTCAATGAAATTGCTTTTCTCATCTTTTTCCCCCAAGTTTTGTGGGAAAAATGATCTCTCATGTTTCTGGACAATCTGGGATTTCTGCTAAAAAGGATTTACATTTTCTAAGAACTTTAATTATAATAAGATTTTCAATGATGATTTTGGACATTTTTTGACTTAATGGTTTCAAACTTATAGAAAAGGTATTTCTGTTCGATCTGGAAAGCCTATTTCCCAGTTTAAAAGTGCTCGCTGAGATGTGTTTCATCCTTCTTTCCCTTTTGCAGGATCTTAGTAATAATATATTCTTGAATGCCGTAAAAGGTAAGGTATTCTTTTCATTCGGTGGATATCTTTAATCACAATATTTTGTCTTAAATTATTTATTAGTCCGTATATTGTTCAGCTTTTTCACCGTTGAAGATTAGATTGGGCGGCACATTGCAAGACAAGGTCATATATGATACTGATGACAATCAGGAACCCTGTACTTCATCATTTGTTAAAAACACTTCTGAGATGTTTGGTTTTACTAAAGGATGTTTATCCATGAATAGATGGGATGAGCTTAATACCTTCTTCGCAAAAGCAGGGTAATATAACAGTATCTTTATGAGATGGTATTCAGTAAATTTGTGGTTCAAATCTAACTTTTTTCCTATTTCAGGCTGCGGCCTCTGAAAAAAATAACAGCATCTTTATTTGCCCTTATATTCCTTGAGCTTTACATTATGAATGTCTGATTATTAATTTAACTCATGTTTCACAATTCAGGGCGAAGGTTATTTTTGGATTAAACGCTCTTTCGGGACGATCTATAAAGCCTGGTGGTTCAGCTGTAGGAGCTTGGAACTACACTAATGCTGAATCTTTTATACGTTACACTGTTGAAAAGAACTATACCATCCATGGTTGGGAGCTAGGTAAATAATAGCCTCTGTTTCTTGACAACTATTCACGCAAAGCTATTCAGAAGGATAAACATGTTTGGAGTTCACTTAATTTATTGATAATTAGATGGAAGATAGTTCTAATGGTAGATGGTAACAACTTCTGTACCTCCTGCTTGTCAGGAAATGAATTGTGTGGGAGTGGGGTTGGAACTAAGGTCACAGCGAATCAGTACGCAGCAGACACAGCAGCTCTAAAAATTATAGTGCAGAACATATACAGGGATGTTGATTTGAAGCCGTTAGTTATAGCTCCTGGTGGGTTCTATGACTCAAATTGGTTCAAAGAATTCATTGCTAAAACAACCAAATCCTTGGATGTGGTCACTCACCACATATACAATCTTGGACCAGGTATGATTCATCTTTGTACAATCCAGTGTTTGAATCTTCTAGGAGGTTAAGACTTAAAAAGAAGGTTCTAACTTGGCAATCATCTTCTTCTTCTGCATAGGAGTTGATGACCACCTTGTTGATAAGATTCTTAATCCATCTGTTCTTGATGGTGAATCTGCAACATTCAGTGGCCTTCATAACATCATCAAGAGTTCTACAACTTCAGCAACTGCCTGGGTGGGTGAGGCAGGAGGAGCTTACAACAGCGGTCGTAATCTTGTTACAAATTCATTTGTGTTCAGTTTCTGGTACAGTGACAATTACTTGATTTCTGGAAACTTGGCCATTTCTCTGTGATTGATTTCTATGTGTTTTTACCTTGGGCATGAAATGCAGGTATTTAGATCAACTTGGCATGGCATCAAAGTATGATACAAAAACTTACTGCAGACAATCACTGATTGGCGGAAATTATGGTTTACTAAATACTACCACCTTTGTACCAAATCCAGACTACTACAGGTTATTGCTTTGTGAAATTCTTTCATTATGAGACTCAGAACTAGAATTTATTGCTACATTATATTTTCCCATAAACAAACAGAAGGGAAGATTTATCTTTCTGCCCTAATCACTGCAACAGTTCATTTCCACATACTTCAAAACAAGCTTTCTAATCCAAAACTTAGCTCAATTGGTTCATGTAGCCATCTTTAAGAAGTAACACCCATCAGGTCTAGAGTTTAAATCTTAGTACCTACAATCCCGTTCTTTCATTTTCAGTCTACAGCCTCATTTGTATAAAAAAAATGCTTTGAATTATTTGTGTAAGAAAAGTATAAGAGAGAGTGAAATGCAAAACTCTGAGGATGGTTATCATAGTAATCATTGACAATAAATTTCCCTGAAACAGATTGAAATCTCATTGAGACCCCATTTATGCCTTACAGAACTAGATAAACCTATCTATTTTGCCATTTCACATCAGAAGCTAAGATTAAGCTTGAGATACTCATAATTTTGTGTGAGAAAACATATATTTATAACTGATTGTAATATTGTAATGTGTATATTTATATTTGTATCTTTAGAATTAAGTATTTATCTCCCTAAAATTAAAGACAAAAAATTAAGATAAACAATCCCTTAATTATAAGATCAATTTTTAAAAAGATTTAATTTTTTAATTTAACCCTTAGTTAATTGTATATAAACCGAAAGTTCTTGTATAATTCTTAATGAGCAATCTTTCAATATTATTCAATTTTTTACTCTCAATTTTTCACACAGTTTTATTTCTTATTTCTTAGTTTTTTCACATTTTGTCCTAATGGAGAATCTATAGTAGGTTATCTAAGCCTCATGTGCATGATACTCTGTTTTCTCCACTGCAGCGCTCTTCTTTGGCACAAATTAATGGGAAGAAATGTTCTGTCTACAAGCTTTGCTGGTACTAAAAAGATACGCTCTTACACTCACTGCGCAAAACAATCGGTAAGTTAGTCTCATATTGCAATTATCACGCAGGTAATCTTCCCTTTCTTAGTATTTGACCTAAGTTTCCTATGTTGCAGAATGGCATCACGCTGCTATTGATCAACCTTGACAATAGCACTACTGTCCAGGCAAAACTAGCATTCAACAGTACAATGACCTTGCAACACAAGCTCAAGCACAGGTCTCGGGCTTTGCACCATAAGCAGAGGTCTCATAAAACAATGATAATCCAGCTGCCTCCAGGCAGTGATGCTGAAATCATAAGAGAGGAATACCATCTAACAGCAAAAGATGGAAATTTACACAGCCAAACGATGCTACTTAACGGAAACATTTTAAGTGTAAATTCGTCAGGGATCATACCTCCTTTGGAGCCGTTACCTGTAAATTCACCAAAACCAATAATGGTTGCTCCTTTATCTATTGTGTTCATTCACATGCCAGATATTATTATCCCTGCTTGCGAGATATAATGCTAGAGGGAACTAAAATTGGGTCCTTTTAGTGATCAATCAAATAAGAAATAGAACATATTGCAAAGATTTCATTTGTTCTATGTAAATCTATGTAAATACGCTAAAAGGTACCATCTATATACATGCATTGAAGAATATAATGCAACATACTTTTTCCGCAAACACTCATAATTCCTTTCTTTGTCCCAGTTTCTATAGTAAAGATGAGTGTACGTACCTAGATGTGATGAATTTATGCATGAGAAACAAAACAACCTTACCGCTCTATAGCTACCAATGAGCCAAATTCTGGTGCAATTAACCTGCAAAATTTATCCTTTGACAGGGTACACAAGAGCATAGACTTGCCCTAACTGTGGTCTAACTCCTAACGGCTTCGGCAGGTTACATGTATGTTAATAAATCCTCCGGTACAGCAAACTTGATATTTGTCGTATAGCAGGTTGTGGGAGAACAAACCACCACATAAATTGACCCAATAGTTTGTAGACGTAGAATGTATCTTCGTGAGGAAGAGAGGGAGAGGGTAAGATACCAGCACAGACGTCTTTCTAGGATTATTACTATTTGCAAGCTCTGATAAACAACTTCAAAATTTTGGAACTCTAAATATTTTCAAAACAATTTGGTGGCGAAAACCTTTTACTTGAATATACAAATGATATAAAAAAAATCACAGTTTCAATCATACATGTATATTTTCTATGCAGGTATACGAACAACGACTATCATTACAAACATGCTCAACTTCCACTTAGGCACAGTGGAAAGGGTCAAATTAGGGATACCTCAAACACGGTGTCTATCAGTTTGGATGCTTCAATCAGGAAAACCCATAGAAAAGCACAGAAACAAAGTCAATCACTCTCCGAAAAGCTTTGAGGCTTACTGCTAGCGAATGCCAACCATACAATGGTACCAGTTAAGTAGAAGAATATGGACGGTGCAAATAAAGACATCTGCACGGTACATATGTCCAGTTATTTTATTTACAATATTGGGGGAGGGGAGAGGCAACTTTTCCAAATAGAAAATAAAACTTACACTCCATGAATGAGTTGAATCAAGTAGAAAACCAGTAAGCGCAACACCTACAATTCCAGGCACTGCTCCGACAGTGTTGGTAATACCCTGAGAGGAAAATTTCAAGAAAAAATGCTTTAAAGTAACTGTCTATGTATGATTGCAACATTCAGCAGATATAAGAAAGTCAAGGATATGCTTCAACTATGTAACAGGAATTATGAGTATCACCTTTTCATCCATATACAATTATTTAAAGTGCTAGCTACTATCAACTTATGACCCTGGATTTCAAATGATAGATGTTTTCAATCTTGGACTTTTGAATCAAGTCTATAGACTAAAATATGGAGGATTTTTTATCAGGAAAAAATTAGCATAGTTTAGGGACAACACATATGCAGTCACACTCACCAATCATTTAGAAAGGGAGTGAAATCACTGTACAAAATGGTTGAATTCTAATACTTGCCATCATGATCAAATATTCCAGTTAGAGGCAGACTGCTGTATTGCATGATTAAGAACAAAAAAAATCACGTAAGTGTACTGACACAGAGCACAAATGCTTTTGAACTCCCTTCAAGGAATCATGCCACTAAATCAGAATAACTCAAACAGTCCATCTATTGATAATGGCACAAAATTACATGTTGACTATAACATAAAGAATAAGAAACTGACATAAGCAGATTGTTTTGACATGAATTTCAAACGCATTACCAACCAATTTGGAATTTATAAACTTACGTACCAAAAGTATACTTGCATATTCAGGTGAAATATCCTGATGCGTACAATAAAGCCCTGCATGAATTTTGGGGCCAGGGAGGAGTAAGTACCAACACTGTATTTAGTAGCTCTCAGAAAAGGCAGGTCATGCACGATAACTGTTATTTGCTATACCCAGAATAAGTAACCCAGCTGGATTAGTCACTACCTGACAAGGCAAAGCTGGAGAGAGCTAGTCCACTGGTGAGGATCCCCACAATTTCCCATGGTTGCAGTCCTAGATCTAGAGAAGATAGAATCATGCAGGTTGCAGGAGACAAAAACGAAATTGTTTGGCAAATCTTTCGCACCTGCATGCACAAAATTAAGGCCATCAGAGAGGTTCAAATCACAAATAATATTAGATTCCTCTAGGTAACCCTACTTATGTTATATTCCAAGTCAGTTCCTTAAAAATTAAAGCTAAAAATTCCAAGGAATAATAAAATATTACAGCTCAGCTTATACAGATTCATATCCAATTTTATTGACAATGATAATCTAAGAATACATCCTATATTAAATTATGGACATGTCATATTATTTGTTGGAACAAGCAACAACTGATTCAATAGATTGGCCATTTTTTAATACACACAGAGTGAGAATAGTGATATAGAAAGTTAAAAGCCTTTGATGTCTTCATACCATAGTGGTCTCAACTCCATTGGCAATTAAGTTATCGGCAAATTGTGCAGCTATATTTGTTACAAAAACTGAAGCCAGGGGAGGAAGGATGGAAACCTGTGATTAGATAGCTTAACGTTTGTAAGAATATAAATAATACAATATTCAGTCTAAGGCAGCACAATAGCTAAAGAATTAAGTGATTCTGATGTTAAAACAGCATAAAATTTATGACTTTGCTATCACCATTCATAAGAATAAACTACAAAACAGTTAGGTAAAGAATTGGCTTCATCTTTTTTTTTTTTGGGAAAAATATGTGCTCATACATTGTAATTGTAACCCTACAAATATACATGACAATGAAGCAGATATAATATTGTCAACCCTTGAATGCTAAAGTTATTACTCTATCCTCCTCAAATCTATAGAAGAATGCTCTAACAGAATATAAACGATAGATATTTTAACCTTACCCATGCAGCTTCTGTCAAATTTAGGTTCAGCTCCTCACTGCAAGTCATGCAAAACAGAAGTTAAAACTTCTACGTGAGTGAAATAATATAAGAAAAAACAATGCAACATAGTTGCAATGTTTATACAATTTATATTGAGAACATTTTTGAGAAAGTAGAATTGATGAATACTAAATACTCAATTACAAAATTTGTGAAAGAAAAGGACAAGATAGTTTTATGCAAAGAAAGGGTGGATTAAAACATCCCCCTTGAAAACATAGTGTTAGCCCCTCTGGGGTCATGAAGTATAGTAAAATTACAGTATCCCTTAAGGTTCGAAATATACAAATTTCACACTCGAATGCCCTAAAAAGTAAGAAATTCACTTCCTGTTGAATGTTTCATGAAAGTGGTTGACAATATAAAATTGAATATCCCAGTAGTGAAGTACATACTTTGACACCCCTCCCCTCTCCCCTCCCCCGGAAAGAAAAATATCAAAGCACAATTCTTGGAAGCTCCAAATTACCACTTAAAATACTGAACAGTTGTGAATATACCTAAAAAAGGTAGGAAGCCAAGATAGACAAGTATAATGACCCCAACTTCCGCAAAAATGAGCATATATCATTGCCCATACAGCTGGACTTTGGAAAAATGCCTTCCACGGTACATCCTATAAGACAAAAACCAAGAGGAATGATCAAAGACCAATATAATGAAAGTATGAAACATTAGAAATCTCCTAACACTTTTGAAAGGGATTGACAATAGCTGGCAATTGAGACCACTATGAGTTTGTTTTGTAATGATAACAACAGTAGTCCAAAGGACAATTCAACTACCTGAGGCAAAATACTGCACATGCTGATCATAAATGACTTTATTTAAATCATCAGATCACATAGTACGTAACAAATCTAGTTAGCATATTCAGATAATGCCAATGACCATGAACTACATTGTTTAAAGAATTTTCTATAAGCCTTATGACCAGCTGCTTCAGCATGAATAGCAAGGCTTTCATGCTTCTATGTCAAGGTTAAAATATTGTATAATCATAAAACAATGTCAAATCAATCCCAGGTATATAAATTGCAACAGTTTTAGTCAAATATGTGGCCAAGAAAAAGAAACTGGCTGTTAATGAAGATCCACCTAAATGCAGAATACTTGTTACCACTTAAATGAAGATACCCTTGAATTATCTAAGATCTTTTTTAAGTTTCCTTACAAGTTAGGACCTATAGTTCAGTTCACTCAATTAAAAATCTATGCGCTCTTCAGCATGGGTAGTGAGTGTAGAAAGAAAAAAATTGTGAGAATTAGTTACATTTTTTGCCCTATATACTAAAGGAAAATAAATCAGAACATTGAGTATGGTAGTGTGGGAGGCATGACGTCTGTTTTATGAGATTATTTCCACTTTTAACATACTTCCTATAATGCCTACATTTAGATAAAAAGCAAATATGTGAAATTATATGTATTATATGAATGGAAAATTTCCTAATCCTTCTCATAAGACAATGAAAAGAGGAAGAAGCCTTCACTAGCATGGTAGCATGCCAAGTTGATGATAAAAGTTTAGCATAAGATGCCGAGTCACATTCTCAAGATGGGAGCAACAGTAACACTCTGTTACAAGCTGGATTCACAGATCAGAATCTGTTCCACAAACCCTAGCCACTAAAAGCAATCCACTAAAGATGCTTCAACTTAAACCCAAATATGGTTGATTGAACTGAACCCCAATTATCATGCAAGATTCATGCAATACATAGGCTCTTTGGTTTGCTGAATGGTCAAATCTCAGGGCACATGACAAAACACTATACAGCCAACCATCATTGTTTTATGGTGTTGGGTTAAGCACTAAATAATACGGTGAAGCACCAATCAAGATGAGGATCTTAATAAGCTAGATACGCAACCAGCATCTGCTCCACAAATCAGAACTATCTTATGAAGGGCAATGAAACTACTAATAATGTGTTGAAGTAAACCAAACATAGAAGATTGAATAGCCACAACCGCAAAAAGTGAGTCGAGGATGCCTTTGACGATAAAATTACCAACCAAAAGTTAAGGACATCAAAAAGCATAGAACTTCAAGTAACAATTCTTTTTTTTCCCCTGGGGAAGATAACAAGTTTCATTGTCAGAAACACGTAATCAAACATTTGACATCATACCCTCAACGAGGCACGCAACTCTTCTAGAGTATTATTCCATGAATTCTTCAGATCAACTGATTCTTCTAGAGAATCATTCCATGACTTGTTCTGACCAGCAGATCGCAATACTGTCATATACCAAAAGTCAGGATCATTAGCACATTGAAGAGGAACTCAAGGCACAAATGAAATCACAGAAAAGAACTAACACAAATAGTAACATACTTTAATAAGATCATTTTAGCATTGTATGATTAAATTTTTTACAGAACCACCAGGGTTTGGAAATCTTCTGACTGGTTAGTTAAGCATGCAAAATGTTCGATATGATTCTGCTCAAGTGTTTGAGCATCATGGTATATCTGTGAAGCAATGTTATTTTGCATCAGGTTTGCCCACTGCATGGAGTCAGCCGAGTCAGCTATAAAGTTCATATTGAGCCACTGTTCTCTATTCAAGACCATATCCATTTTTATAGTTTCCATCCATGTCCTCCAGTCTTCCTCTTCTTGACAGAAAACCACTATGAGAATTTGTAGTTTTAATACGAGTATAATGGTTGTGGAGAAGGCTCTCCTAGTGTAAAAGTAACAAAAGGACTTCAAGAAGCTTGTCTGTATAAGGATGAAGATCCTTGAGAAGGCAGATATAGGTAAGATTAATCCTTCAAAATTGGAAGAGGTTTTATTCAGAAGTCAGCCACAAATCAATTTTTAAATATGGCACAGTCTTTAGACGACTATCAGCAATTTATTCTCCTTAATCTGAAAATTTTGCAACTTAGAAGGGTGTGCAAGTTCTTCACTACATCTTTAGACTGCAATGCAGTGGTATGAAATCTCTTTCATTATGAAGAAGACCTTAAAACTAAATTAAACTCCCTTCAAACCTAGTTTTAAGTAAAGTGCATTTAGTTGTCCTTTCCTATTTCTCTTCAGTTCATGTTGGTAATCATAGATAGGTACCCTAGTATTCTCTCCTTGCCATTTAGATTTCACATATTATATCAAAAACAATTTTAGACATGTCATAACATGGACAACCTTAAAGTCAAGTGACTGTCCAACTCTTTCTTGCTTTCTTCAATTCTTTCTTCCATTTGCTATTCCAAGTGAAGATAGCGTAGCCAGTGAACAAATTTCAATTCATTATCTTGTCTCCATCCATCCGGTACAAATAACTTATCCAGCCAAAGTGGACACAAAATCTTAAATCATACTACAAAATGCGCTGGTATTCCTAGCAGAGATTGTGGTCTTTAGGCTATGTAATAAGGTTTCCTTGTCAAATTGCATGGATGGATATTGCAGTAATGTAATGAATAGGTAAAAATAGAGGCACAACAATTGCGCAAACATCCATGATGATGCAAAAGAGTCTTAATTGTGAGCAGTGCCAGCAGCATTTAGCTGAAATGGTGCTGGATGCAGTGCACTGCACTTTGACCAATGTGATTGACGAGACTACGATAAAATTGATCTTCAATGTTGTCTGTAGGAGCATTTCACAAAAATATCAAGTTGTGTCTACACTGGTGATGACTGCTACAATGGAGAAGTTGGATGGGAAAGCAAGAGTGATGTTTTCAACATGGGTCAGATACTTGACGAATGTAAGGAGCTAAAAGTGAGCTAAATGGTAGAAATTAGATTAGATATCTTCTAAGCATCCATCATCAGTTCACTAACCAATATAGTTAGACAATAGTTACAAATGCATGAAGAAATGATTCATTTGTGTTATTCAAAAAGAGAAATACCATTATCCTAAAAATAACTCAGGAAAATGCTCAATTTTTCATTATCCATATGAAAAAGATAAGCAATTCACTTTGTCAAATAAACAATAATGAAGATAAATAGGGATTGAATGCTCACAAGCAACATGTTCAACTGCATCTAAAGCTCGTCCTTCTCCAAGAAAACGAAATCCCAAATACCTTCAACATTTTGATGACAGGGGTTTGAGTCAAATTTCAGTTCCATCATTGCAATAAATATTTTTAAAACAACCTCAAAAATTAGATTTCCCAAGAACTCTTAGATGGAAAATTTGTGGATGAAGAAAATTCATCTTTTATGTTTAACAAAAGATATACTCCTATATTTTTGCATATTGCACAGTGGAAAAGAACACCTACTCTAAATCAGAAGTAACGTGCAATAATTTATCAGTTTAGAGCTAGAAACATACCAGCCTATCCCCAGAAAGCCAAATATATAAAATACAGATTCCCAACTAAAATTTTGGATGAGCGGAGGAGCCAAAAGAAGCCTGCAATGTTTTTAAACAATGAAAAGATGACAAAAAATGAACTTGAACACTCATTTAAACCAACCGGACTGCATTTAATAAACAAATATTATTGATGCTACATTTAGAAGAGCAAAATCAATTCTTTGGCTATCCACTAGCCTTAGTTTGCTGATACAAAAATTAGTTTCTGGTTATGCATATCCTGGTCCAATTCCTTCTAAATGGAGCTTGAAAAAAAAATCCCTTACATCATTTGAAGAATCAATAAGCAGGACGTTTGGCAGCAAAGAGATCAGTCACACATCCCAAAAATATAGGCATAAAAGGATGTAAAAGAAATATGAATTTTTCGTCAGTTTAAATGGTGGATTCTTGTTCTTTGCAACACTCTAAATAAGGAATCAACAACTCTTCACTTTTCCATTTAATTTAACTTCGAGACTGTTTTTGCACTTTATTTCAATGAGAATGTCATTACTTAATTCATTGGATGGTCCCCAAGATAAATTATGAAGTTACATTTTTTGCATATATGAAAGTAAACATGGCACTTTTTTTTTTCTTTTGAGCAGATAACAAGAATCATTTAGTTGAATATTAGTATTTTTTAACTACATAACATAAAACTCCAACAAAACATACCCTGTAACACTTCCTACACTCAACCCACCAAAGACAAATGATACAGCCCTGGAGCGCTCTTCCAAAGGTATTGACCTGCATGTTGTGTTGGACAATACCAACAAAAGGAGACAAGTAAGATATGGTTAGTTATTTGTTAGGGGATGAACTATATCACAAAAAGTGCCAAAATGGCAGCACAAAATATCCATAGTGCATCAGGGCAAGATAACAATATTAGGTTCAAAATGCTTTCTAGTTTTGAGAAACTATGAAAGTTCATCCGCATCTCTAAGTGCAATGTTCGTTAAGTTGAGCAAAGAAATTTCTTCCCAGAGGACAAGGACAGGTATTGAAAACAAATACCTGATTCTTGTCCCCCTAACCTGGCAATTAATCTTCCCAGGACTTGTTTGAACAATGTAGAATTTTTCTGAATTGAGATATACATATATATAAAAGGTATACAACATATAATCCAATACAAAAATCCCTGTCATGATTAATGAATTTGTAATAGATTTATGATTAATAGGTTGTTGTTGAGAGATCTAAAACTGGAAAAGAATTTAGAATTCTTATAGAAATGGGGTGTTTAGAGTCCAAAGAGAATTATGAACTAAAGATATCTCATCAAGCAGAATCCAAATAAAAAACAATCGACACACACACACACACACACAAGAGAGATTTGTATGATATGGTTTTACAACAATATTAGTCATTAAATGCCAGTTTTAATGTGCATCATGCTCAAAAATTTCCTAGGAAGCTTTCCGTGACCATCTTTTTTAAGTATACTTACAAGGGGAAAAGCAGAGTAGAACTCTCATGGTAATAAAATGGCCATGCAAGAAAGTTTCAAGTCACCAATGTAATGCATGTGAACAACTTGAATACAGCAAATCTAAAGTATAAATTTTGGGCAAATATGCATTAAGATTACTGGTTTGACATTGGAAGTCATTCATTGGTCATAAAAAAACATGCTGTTAGAGTATGGTGTCATATGTGCCTGGCGATAAGGTCTGTTGCAGATGATGGTGAAACACCTTCTCCTATCCCAACCTGGATTTATTAAAAAAAAGTGAATCATTTTAAGGTTGAGGTATGGTAATTTGTATTAAAGAAGCTCCAATTAGCACAATTGCATGTGCAGTCATAGACAAATCAAAACTAAACAGCTTCAGTGAGATTTTATAATAAATGAGAATGTAATCTCTCCGTGTGTGTGTGAGAGAGAGAGAGAGAGAACCTGAACACTTTCAGTTAGACAATAAAAAGAGTTGAGTAGATGAAAATAGTAATCCAAACATGAACTAGATAATACAAATTGAAGAAAAGATAAGAAAAAATGCCTACATACCAAAATCCTTGACAAGAGCAGTCCAGGCATGAATCCAGCAAGAACAGGAACAAGGGCCGTAGCCAAGGACCAAGCCAATACTCCAATCTCAAGAACTTTTCTGCATGAATAAGAAGATACCAGGTAATACGATGCATATATGAGACTATGTCACCATGCCAAAACAAATTGAATTTGTTGTCCTTCAATAATCTCTAGAAATTATCATTGTTAGCATCAAACAAATGACAGTTAATTATTTGGATGCTGTTTATTTTATCAATTACAAATCTAGAGCCATACCCATCTAAGATGTTAAATAATCAGCACCACTTTTTCCCTCTTTTGTTTCCAATTGGGGGAAAAGGAAAAGAAACATTGAAAGTCTCTAGCTTACAAGACCAGACTTTCTGGCCTTCAGTAGTGCAATCACTTGATAAATACTGGGAAAAACACAAAACTAATATGACAAAGAATTTTCAAAAGGAGAGAGAAAAATGGACGATTGAGAAAGAGCCCCATATATAGAGATGCTCTTGATTCTTCATCAATTCTAAACTCATCACATATTTGATGATAAAAGGTCGTTAGCGAAGCAGGTCCAATCATGTATAATTAATGCAGATATTTAGATTAAATACATTAATGGGAGCATTATTATTAATCAAGAGTTGTGATAATCACCTGACATAAAATATTATATTGCATTTGGATCAAATAAAATAAAGTGGATTAAGAACTTATAAATTACAATAGAATGATTAAAACAATTATAACCTCAGCAGTTCAATGTCATTTGCAGTATTATTGTGTATGGAAGTGATATCAACAAACTTTTATTGCTGGAGATTGTGAAATAGTAGTACAGCCACAGATAGCTTCTAGATTTTATGTGAAAGGTGAACCATTCATCCATTTTCTGTGAAAGATTGAAAGTAAGAAACATTTGTATTAAATAAATCTTTAAGATATTCTGGAAGAAAGTTGGCAGCATTGCCGAGTGTTGGGCACCCTAGACACTTTCAGTATGATATCTAAAGTAGAAATTTAGTTTTAAGGTATCTTAAGTTCAAAGGTTTAGAAAATATTAGTCATCAAAGTCAATCTAGTTATGAAATTGGAATTAGTTTCATTCCGCATTTTCCATATCCAACTAAACCAAGTCCCCTACTGCAGTTGGCCAGTTTCAACGAGGCCTCAAATTAATGTGCTTAAACAATCAAGTAATGAGTAGCCTTAAAAGTGGGATAACACTAGAATTCAGGTAGCATCCTAACTAGAGATTGTAGCTGCTCATCAATGCCTGCGGATAGCATAAAATATTCCCCATATTCTGAATGCATACCTTCAATTTTGGGTAAAATTATAAGATTACCAGTTCTCTTTTACCTTTCAGAATTTGAAATGACAACTTTCTATTTTGTAACGCAAGCAGGGATAAAATATTAATGATTGCACATTTGCACTAAATAGCCAAAGTCTTAAAAAACTAACCTTCCACCAAAAAGCTTCGCAAGCCAACCTCCCGGCAATTGACTCAATGCATAACCCCAGAAGAATGATGATTGCACTAATCCAGCTACTGATGGATTCCACCCAAACTGATGTGACATTGGAATTATAGCAACACTCAAGTTCACCTATCGCATTTAACAAGCTTAACATAATTAGTTCAACCTCAACATAAAAAACAAATAACTAAGGCTCCACGTGGTTGCTGTTTCTACTACATAAATTTTGATCTTTCTTTTTACTTCCAAAAAAAGTTGCCGTAAAGAAAAGTCATAATTGATTAAAAAAGTACAGATGACTAAAATATTACACCCATTCGAACAATTGTTCTATATAAAAGCAAAATCACTTGTTTTCTTACCCAAAAATACTACAATTTTTTTATTTTTAATTCTTCAAAATAGTGTTTAATTTTGTATTCAGATATACCTTTTGCTTTTGCGTTTAAGACAAAAAACAAAAAGGGTAACAAAAGTAAAAACTAAACACAAACAACTTGCAAGCTTCACTGCAAGCTAACATTGCCACTTCTTTTTGTTCATTTCAAAATAAAAATGACCCAATAGTTCTGCATGTAACAGAAGACGAACATGGAGTTCTATGTTAGAAACACCAATTTATGCACTGCAATAACATTACATGTCTCAGAAAGGCAATTACTTCGGTACGAAAAAAGACAACTTTAACTTCAGAATATAAACTTAAGAACTGTAAAGTGTTTGTTAAATTGCCTAAGAGAGTAGAAAATAAAGCAAACATAGTCAGCAAACCAACCTTATCCATGTTACAAATAACGAAGGCAAGCGAAGTGGTACCAATAAGCTTATATCTCTGAGGAATATTCTTCCAAGGAGGCCAAACCAAATCAAAACCCACTTTACTTGACCCACTTTCCTGACCCAAACCCGCTTTTCTGTCCAGCTCCTCGACATGTACACCATTGACTAACTCCCCAACGTTAGCACCAATCTTTTCCCTCTCATCTTTAACATTCTCTTTCTCCTTAATACTACATAAAACTTTGAACTTCAACTGAGACTTTGAAGGACTTAACCGCAATTGAAAATTTTTGCGCGAAGTTCTGTTTAAAAGGATTGAACTATGAGAAGTGCTGGTGTTGTGAGAAAGAAAACAAAAGTTATTATCTAATCTCAGAGTGAATTTTGCCATGTCTGCCTCTTGTGTTTAAGAATGTTTGAAAAGAAATGAGGGAAGCTGAGTTTAAGGATTCGTGATGAAAGTTGAACGAGTGATGATTAGGAGGGGAAGAGAAGAGAAAGTTTCCAGGGAAACTGGTTAACTGGGAAGCCTTTGCGAGAGGAGTTGAGGAGGCCACGAGGGAATTGATTTGTGGCTTGCATTTGCTTAGATTGGCATCTTAGAATATTTGGTTCATGGATATGACCACGAATTCTGGGTCTTTGTACACTTGGCTTATTCTGATTCGTCCTGGCGCTCTGTTTGTGAAAAAGTTGTTCAAAATCACATTCAGCTCTTGCGTCAAATTATAGGGATGAAAAACAAAACAATGACAAAATTAAAAAGAATAACGTTAGGCGTTTGGTTTAATTATAATGAAAATATCTAATGAAATATTTAAATTTAAAAAAATTTTAATTTTTTATTTAATTTATAAATTTATTAATTAATTTAATATTGTGAAGTTTTTTTTACATTTTTTATAATTAATTATATTAAAAATAAATATCATATTAATTAACAGATATTTAATATATTATTTAAATTTTAAAAATTTTTAATATGTTATTTAAATTATAAATTTATTAAATATTGTAACATTTTATAGATTGTTTTTCATTGTTACATTAATTAATAAATATTCAATGTAATATTTACATTTTTAAAATTTTTAATATCTTATTTAAATTATAAATTTATTAATTAATATAAAATTTTAAAAAAAATTATTATCATTTAAAATTAATTATATTAAAAATAATTATTATATTAATTGTAAATCATAATTTAAATATTAAAATAAAAATTTTTAAATTTAAATATCACATTAAATATCTTATTATAATTCAAAAATAAAAAATCATGATAAAAGAAAAAAAATCAATTAAACATCCAAAGATAACACACGCTAAGTGTCATGGTCAGGTCTTGGTCTTGCCATGATTGACTCTGAACCGAACAGCGGTGGAGATCAAGTTGACGGAAAAGTGGTTCTAAGAGACGCGGACGTGCATTTAGAGCTTTGAAACACATTACTAACATGTTGTACGAGCAGTGAGAGCCCTGGACCGCAAGATACGCGAAGAAGTTCGAGACGGTGGTCAAGCACCCTCAAGCCGAGTAGCCTGGGGGTGCTATTAGTGGGAGCAGTGTGCGGGCATTCTGAGCATGGAATATGTTGGGGACATTGTGCGTGGACAGTCCGAGCCATAAACCTCAAGATACGCAGTAAGTACGAAGCAGTGCGCTGGTGCCCTGGCACTAGCTAGCCAGTCAGGTGCTATCGGTCGAAGCCATGTGCAGGCACCTTCGAGTGGGTTGATGGAGTAACGAGCAGAATCAAGGAGTAGTGGTGACCAAGATTAAGGTTATGGGGCCCTGAGTTAGTCGTAAAAAGGCCCTGAGATGATTGGAGAGAAAAGTGTCTCCATTTCGGACAATCTTACGGTCACTGGTAGGAAACTGAGAAAATCTCTTATGCTTTTTATAGGGGGACAACTGGTGTCAGCTCTCCACCACTCCCTTGGCTAGTAGGCAAGCGTGGGCCTGGCTAGTCTGAAGTGAGCTACTCCTAGTCACTGGTGGTGGCTAGGTGGGCGGGCTTCGTAGGATCACGAGCGTGGCATGATGTTTCCTCGGGTCACGGTAAACTCGGGGGCGATTGGGGCCGGCGGGCCTCGTATCACACCTTTGCATTGAACCAAGGGGTTACACGGTAGAGATCGTTAGGCCCCTCGGTTTCCTCTCCTTGAACCGGAAAGATTACGATATGGCATTTGAGTAGGAGGGATGCCATCGAGCCTAAGGGATGCGCGAGCTAGCAAGCAGGCACGCTGCTAGACTCTTATGGCTAAAGAGACGGTAGAGATCGTTAGGCCCCTCGGTTTCCCCTCCTTGAACCGAAAAGATTACGATATGGCATTTGAGTAGGAGGGATGCCATCGAGCCTGAGGGATGCGCGAGCTAGCAAGCAGGCACGCTGCTAGACCCTTATGGCTAATCTTTAGAGGTGTGCTGTAGTTGAGACAATCCACCCACGTCCCCTTGCGGGACTAGCATGATGTTGGGTGTCAATCGTGTGTGCGGGCGGTCGATACTAATGTTGAAGGCTTAAGCCCTAAGAACCGAGCCCCATGGGACGAGATGAGCCTAGAAGCTCCGAGTTGGCGACTGACCAGCTTAAAGGTGGCGCTTGCGTAAGCTTGATACGGGAGCTAAATACGATACGGGCAGGCATAGTGTTGGGTTCTCACCATGTCAAGAAGTGATAATAAAGCCCTGCGGCCAGAGATGAGTGCTCGGGGCTACTTTAAGAATCGAGGGCTATGTGCCCTTACGGGGATTCGAGGGTCGACGCTTGAGGTTATAAGCTTTGCGACCAAAGCTGAGTGCTCGGGGCTACTTTAAGAATCGCGGACTGATGCGCGATGAGAATTGGATTCCTCTCTATAGAATTCGGAAGAAGCGACCCTACGGAGTCAAAGCCAAAAAAGGCTCATGGGTAGGTGGCTTGAAAGATCGAAATTGGTCTGTTCGCGAAAAAATGGATCCACTAGAAGGTTGATCTGGATTAAAATTAGTCTTGATGTCACACAGATGCGTGGTTTCAGAAGGAGGAACGCGCGGACCGTGACACTAGGGATCTTGATTGCGATTCTCCCATTGACTCGGAAAGATCATCGGCAGGAGAATTTACATTGTATTGGGCAAACTTGGATGCAAGGCTGGAAGGCTGAGTCATGAACCAGAAAAGGAGAAGTCACCGTAGTTTTGGGGCCAAACCTATACGTATAGATCCTTCTAATAAAAAACCATTCCTACGGTTCTTTCACATACTTCCTTCGCAGAAGGAACCGGGCCCAGCCTACAGACTCGATTACAACTTACAAGGATAGGTTTATAATATAATTTCTTTTTTTATTTTTATAATTATTAGCGATCCTAGTCACCGGAGGCGGAAAATCTGTTACTCTTTACAATAAAATTCTGTCTTGAAAAAAAGAAGGCCTTTAACTTTTTATGCAATGCCTTCAGATGATTATTTTACTATTATTATCATTATTAAAGCTCTAATTTAAATGACTGTACATTGATCCCTCAAAGTTCATGGTCGGGTCATCAATGACCAGACCTAGGATTGCATGCTCTATAATAACAGTATCCAATACTTGCTCCATTGGCATTATATTGGTGAGGTTGATGAGAGATGGCTTTCCTTCCTGCAGAGGCGGTTTCGCTGTCCAAAAGTGTGGGAGAAATGTCTGTTGTTGGTGATGAACTACCGTTCCAATACATGATTAAGGATTCCTGTTTTGGGTCTGTAAACGCTTCTCCGCCACTTTCTTCATTTGCAATCATTGATATTAGCCTCTATTTTTCTCAATTCAAACTAGAACTTGAGCTGCAGTATAAGTAATCAAGAACTTGCTAGTTGCTACCCCTCATGTCCAAGGCCTGATCTAGTTCTTGGGGTCAAACCTCATGCAGATGGATCAACAATCACCACACTATTGCAGGACAAAGAAGTGGAAGGTCTTCAAATCCTGAAAGATGATCAATGGGTTAGCGTTCCAATCATTCGTCAAGCCCTAATTCTGATCAATGTAGGTGACCAAGTAATGATCTCATAATAAGCACTCTATCAAATGGATCAACAATCACCATGCTATTGCTTGCCTGGTGATTATGTCATGGGCTCCGACCTTAGACTCAGAATCCGTACGGCCTTAGGCTTGGAATCTCCTCATTTATGCTTAAGTCGGCCTAAAACACAAGCGTGCGGGCACTAGAACAATGGGAAGGGCTGATTACGCAAGTTAAAGAGAAACAGGACAGGAAGACAGAATTCTGGAAATGCTCTTGTATTCACTGAAACAGAAGTGTTTGATGGTGTCCAAATGAGGGTGGAGCAGCCCTCTATTTATAGTTGAGGCTCCAGCTACAACTTAATGGCAAATCCCTAGAATAAAGGCTAAAATCATGGGATTACAATCAATCAAGATGCTGGCTCCTGATTTTCAGGGTCAACCAAATCTGTCAGGATGTTGCTGCTGATCCTGCCTGCTTCCAGAAGCTTCCCTTACGTATCCAGCACCTTGGGCCCTTCTGGATGTGGTGCGGGCAGCTTGTATGCCAGGCCTTGGTCTCATGGGCTGGCCTGCAAGTCGGGCGGGCGTTCTGAGCTCATTTGCTAGGCTTTGCGCACAGATACCCGCCAGCACGCCTGGTCTGCGGGCCTGAACCTCTGGCTCGCCTGCTGGTCTGCCTGATGTGCCTGGCGCGCCCGCCCAGGGCGTGACATTCTCCCCCACCTGATTGCGCAACGCCTTCGTTGCGTCTTCTGCATGGTACTGCCTGATCTGGTCCCCGAACTGCCATAAGTCCTCTGTTGGTTCCCAGCTCGCCTCACTGTCTGGAAGTCCCTTCCAGCGCACCAAGTACTCATGTCTTGGCTGATAGTTCTTCCGTCTCACCTCCCGGTCAACTATGATGCTGTAGACCTTCTTCTCATATGAGGCCCTTGCTCCCAATGGCGCACGCTTTGACTCTGCCCGTCCTGGATCTCCCTCATCCTCATGGAACGGCTTGAGCATGCTCACATGGAACACCGAGTGTACCCTCAGCTTGGGTGGCATATCCAACTTATAGGCAACCTTGCCTACTCTCTTGACTACTTTGAAAGGTCCCTCATACCTCCGGACTAGGCCTTTGTGCAGCCCCCTATGGCGCACAATGGGATGCAGCTTCACCAACACCAAGTCTCCAACCTGGAACTGCGCATCCCGCCTATGCTGGTCTGCCCACTTCTTCGACCTCTTGGCCGCCTTATGTAGACAAACTCTGGCCAAGTCAGTTTGCTCCTGCCATGTCTTGGCAAACTTGTATGCTGCTGGATTCGGCCCTGTATAACCTGCAGCAATCGAACCGGGTGTTAGTGGTTGTTGCCCTGTCACAACCTCAAATGGGCTCTGGTTCGTTGCCTCGTTTTTTTACAAGTTGTAGGAAAATTGCGCAATATCTAGCAGCTTTGGCCAGTCCCTTTGTGTGGCACTCACATAGTGCCTGAGGTAGACCTCCAATAGTTCATTCACTCGTTCTATCTGCCCATCGGTCTGCGGATGCATGCTGGTGGAAAAGTTCAAGTCTGACCCCAACAGCTTGAACAACTCAGTCCAGAACCTGCCCGTGAAACGTCCGTCTCGATCACTAACAATGGTCCTTGGCACTCCCCAGTACTTCACCATGTTTT